CATCTTATAGTCCGGCTTTCAGACAGCACGTCACAATACTGATATAGCTTAGAATCCACTTATACAACCAGCACTAAATTTTACCCAATATATTTTAGTGTATAACAAAGGTTTTAGGATAGAGGAACCCCGACATAAAATAAGTATTTCAGTGTAGCTAAAAAGAATCGAGTCAAATAATTGAAGCTAATTTGTAGGCTAAGTAAGTTAGCACCTAAAAAGGTCGTTCTGCGAGATTATAGGTTTTTCCTCTAGGGATATTGTGGTCAAACCATGACACGTCTAGCCTTAAAATTGGCCAAGATATATCATACTATTTGAAGTAATGCATCTGGAGATCAAGAGGCCCCAAAATTGGGCCTTTCAAATAACTTTCATGAAATGTTTACAAAAATCATAGTCTCCAATAATGTTAATAAAAGTCACAAAATGCTGCTCACAGATCACAACATTTTACAAGCCTCCACTTCATTTTTTTACTTTCAATATTCTCCTCCTCTATATAGAGACTGTATAAAAAAGAGTGTATATAACAACGGTAAAGTTAAAAGGAAAATTTGTTTGCATGCCTAACTGATTAAGCACATGTCATGAAGATGTATGGAGGAGTGGATGTATAGCTCCAAGTTTTCTTGACCTCGGCACTAGCTGGAAGTGAGTGGTCAGTTTCACGCTCTTTCCGCTTTACCTCCGGTGAAAGAGCCCCTAATAACCATTGGAAAGGAGACTGGCTGGGCCCCAGAACTTGTCTGGACGACGCGGAGAGGTGAAAAATCCTGCCCCTCCCGGGATTCGAAATCCGATCCCTCGGTTGTCCAGCCCGTAGCCAGTCTCTATACCGTCAGCGCTATCCCAGCTCATCGTTTTTATAATGAAAGGTTTGCAAATTATCATAAGCGTAGGTACTAACATTTTTAATCGCCTTGTGCAGAGTAATTTTATGCCACTAAAGCGTGTAACAATTTCACGCAATATTTCGGGCCTCACTGTGGTACTGGGTAGCGAACCGTTGCTGAAACGTTTTCTAGTAATTCCATTACACAACCTTAAAATCATCACGACTCCCCCTCCCCCCTTCCGCCGCGCAGTTAACGCTGCACAACTCTCTCTTTTTCCCTCCGCCCACCATTTCGTGCATCCACCGCTTTAAACCCTCAAGCGAATTTGCCCTTTCTGCCAGCCATTGTGAATATGACGGGAAATAGCTCATGACCTTTTGACCCTCACCCTTTTCTCCCGTTTCACAATCGCAATAGCACTGATATGGCTTCCGGAATGGCGGTAAAATAGACTTCCGTGCAGAAATCAAATGGACCACATGCAGCCGCACTAAGATTCGTATAAAAGGGTTTTCTTTGTATAAAAGAGAGTGTCATGTGTGCCACAGCAACCGTTTGCATTGGAACTGTGCGAGTGACAAGTAGAATCGTACGGAAACTCTGTGCGCTGGGCCAGCTTAAACTGGAAAGCAACTGGTTGCCACAAATTTCTGCCTCAAACCACATCAACAGTGTAACTGTGTCGTTTAGGCAGATTAAAGATCACATAACGTAAGAATCTCTACGTATGTAGCACAAAACAGTGTAGCCTATAAACCCGATGCTAAGCAGTGACTCTGTAAACAGCGGCCGTTGCTAGGTAATGCCCGCAACATACACACGCGACAAAAGAACTGTGTTTTCTATGTGGTCCATGACGAAATGTTATAACCGGGAAATTTGGAGCTTAATCTGACGGTATGGCGGCGGGTTCGAATACCTTCACTGTGACCCTGCGAGTCGTAGGAGGTGACGAAAAGGGAAGTCTCAGATCTGAGACAATAATATGCGGTCTCAAGTATCAAGGAACTCGGACGCGAGAAAGACTGCGCTGTCAAGGACCAGCAGCATATACAAATGACAGACCCGTCCTCTAGTGAGAGAGGGTGCTCACAAAAACAAGAACGTAAATGTCAAACAGTAATAAATATCTGGGCATGAGCCCCAGGAGAGTGCTCGACACCATGACTTACTGACTGACTGACTGACTGACTGGGCGTCAGTCGCAATGTGACTTTGACTTAGTTGAGAGTCAGTTTTGCATGGGAGGTCTGTGAAGAGAGGACTTGATCCGAAGGGAGAGGAATGGCCATTGTTGGAGGCGTTACCAGGAAACGTCTAGTGACAGACTGAGAACACTAGACTGTGTTCTATTGGACTGTAAATTGTGGAAATACCATAGTGTTATAGTTACCTGTAGTTACGACCTATTTGAAAGCCTGTAAATTTCGAAGAGGGGTTCATTTCATTAAGTAAAAACCTGTGGCCTGCGAGTCGCTGCTGTTCCGCAATGTAGTAATTTTTACATAACTGCCATAAATAAAAAAGTATGTTTTAAGAAATCTTTGCTGATGACATACTATAAATAAAAAATAGAAAAAAAAACTACATTTTTTTTTTCCAATCACGCGTAACGAGATATTACTATTGTTTTAGCAATTCCCACCGTCTGTCATGTTTCCGTGATCGGGTGTGGCGCTCTCTAAAAGCCCAAAACCTTACCTCTCTTGCTCCTAAAGACGGAAAACTTTACGAAACGCTGAATTTGAAAAAAGAAAAAAGAGGATTGAAGTGTTCAATATAATTGTCTCGTTTGCTGCTACTTTACTACCGGCCACTTCTCGTGTGATGAACATTATCTCCCCCCCCCCCCCTTTCACGGCGTCTACCGGTGTCCCTTCCTAGTGACGGGGAAGAGGACACGGGGTTCTTGTGGTCAGTTGTGGCACTCCACAGAAATGCGATGGGCGAGATGCATTAACGCCATCAGCTTAATATCCGAGATATCTGGTTCTAAAAGCATTTGAGTCTCTTGTCATAGGAAATGGGAATTCAAGATATTTCAATGCAAAACAAGATTTATTTTCTGTATCAAATACATTTAGCCGAGCACGGTGGCTGCGCGGTTTAAGGCATGAAGCGTCTTCGCTCGTTTGAATACTGGGATCATGGGTTCGAATCCCACTTGAGACATGGATATCTGTGTGCATTTATTCTGTTTCTGCTGTCCTGTGTGTACAGGTAGCAGCCTCGAGACGGGCTGATCCCCCGTCTAAAGAGTCCTACAGTCCACGTAAAAGATGAAGAAACTGAAAAGCGTCCATAGTCCAACAAAGTGCTTTAGAATTATAGATAGATAGTTTTTAGGGCTTCTTTAATTTGAGTAATTGATACTTTTGTTAATTGTTTTATTAAAAACTCGATACAATAAACGCTGAGGATTAACTGTTTACTGTAATTTGTTTCTTTAATTGATCAAATAAATTTACTACATTTCAAGACAACCGTCATGCAGGCCTACCCTGTCTCTGATCTTCTGATCTGCTTAACAAAATACCGCCAATATTCAATAAGAAAAAGGTTCGAAAGAAATACTCTTTCATCTCTTATCATAACAGGGACCACGTTTAGCTTTTACGCGAAGATCTACTTCTTCGGGTGTATACGATTTAATTAGGTCACTAAACAAGGCCACTTAAACACTAAGACATACCGTATTTACGCATGTATAGGCCGCGTGCGTGTATAGGCCGCAGCACAATTTTCTTTACAGAAATTATAGAAAAAATAATTTGCTTGGAATATTATTTCAGGAGTATTACACCCTGTATTACTAATTATGAATATATATATTTTTTTAAATGAAGTGTGATTTCGAATATTTCGAATATAAGCCGCACCCCAGTTTTCCTCTTGAATTTTTGGCAAAAAAAATGTGCTGCCTATACATGCGTAAATACGGTAGTTTCTCGAACTATTGGTCTTGACCGCTTAGGGAGGCTATAAAATTCTCAAGAATTATTTCAAACGCGGCTGCATCCAAGCACAGATCTGGTTAGTCAGTAGTCAAAAAGGTGTCACATAGAAGCTATCAGAAAATGTATCTGCAGCCGGAAAAATACTTCAAGAATATCTTTGTGGCAGTACAGGACCAATTTATAGCTTACTGTAGATGTAAAGGAGTTGTAAAGTTATTTATGTTCGCACTATCACAGTGCGGCTGGTTAGGAAGTAACAACAATGTTCCGAACTGCCGTTTTGTCTGACCAGCAGACCGTATTTTTATGATTGATTTTAAGAGGTGTTACACAGTTTGAAAACCCCTGCACTAATGAATGCCCACAAGAAATAAATAGTGAACAAGAGGACTATACTGCGCTTCTTCTGACAATAACTATATCTGTGGAGCTGGGACGTGCCTTAGCTCAAGCGGTAAGTCGCTGGCTTCCCATCGTGATGGCCCGTGTTCGAGCTACGGTCAGGTCATGTTGGATTTGTGGCGAACAGAGTAACATTGGGGTAGATTTTCTTCGAGTACTTTAGTTTCTCCTGATAAAATCTTCATTCCACGAATTGCTCCACAATCACCATCATCTATAATCTGGGGCTGATACAATAGGTCAGTAGTGGCCGCAGTACCAAGTGGACTCAGTCTCACCCCACTAATAATAATAATAATAATAANTATTCTTCTATGATCAATTTTATACTATTCTTCCACCTACGATTGTGCAGTGGGTATAGCGACTAGCTACGGGCTTGGATGGCCGAGAGGCCGGAGTTCGCGTCACGGTATGGGCAAGATTTTTCTCCTATCCACGTCGTCCAGACCAGTTCTGGTGCCCACCCAGCCTCCTATCCGATGGGTACCGGGGGTTCTTTCCCCGGCGGTAAAGCGGCCGGGCCGTGAAGCTAAGAACTTACCTTCTAGTGACGAGGTCAAGAATGAGTGGATCTATAAATCCACTCCCCCATACACATTCATACGGCTTAATTAGTTATGCACAGAGACAATTTTACCTCCCACCTACGTCTAGGTTTCCTTAGTTGTCTCTTTCCTTCTCCAAACAATGTGTTTCGTCAGACAATACAAGTACATACACAGTATTCTGCAACGTTGTCTTCAAGATGTCCGGATAATAAAGCAGAATACTTCATGCTTGAGACAGAGTTGATACTCACCTACGACGTTCAGATGGATGAAGTGGCTCATATGTGGCGTAGTGCTGATCTGACACTCGTAGATGCCGGAGTCGCGGTGCTGAGGATACTTGATCTGAAGGGTCCAGTCTTCACTGTGCGGGTGATGGATAGCGCGGAACCTCTGGTCACTTGTGTATGTATACCTGCCCACCGTCAGCAGGTGGATGTCACGATGTCGCACCCACGACACCTGCAACAACATCTGTTGCTACGTCAGCCCGTCCGCCATCTTGATCAATTCTGCTGATAGATCTACACATTGAAATTTGTAAAAAGGAATACCGCGTATTTCCATAAAACTCATATGGTTAATTGCAAAATAAAAACATACAGAATGTAAATGACCAATCTCAATCAAAACACAAAATAACACGATTAAATGTCACTTTTCATTCGTAATAGAAGATTGCAACACGGATTTTTCTTTCAAAGAATTTATGCTGTAAACAGAGGTGTCGCCAGAATTCTCTTCTGCAAAAGCGGGATAGAAAATTTTGCAAGAGCAGGTAGCCATAAAATGTACTTAAAAACTAACTTTTAAGCAGTTGAAGCCTGCTTTTATAGATCACTCTAGACTGTTCATGACAGAAAAATATTTAAAAAATAAACTTGAAATTTTATTATTACTATTTTGTACATTTTTATTTGTTCTTCAGTCTTAATTTTTTCAAAAAATGGAGGGGACGCAGACATCTGATTTACCCCTATCCCTCTGCTGGCTCTATTGGTGGGAATAAAATGATTACATTCAAGGAAGTACCTTAAAAGTAAACTGATTTATCTCAAATATATCCATGGTGGTACCATTAATTTCCACGAAAGAATTCAACTCGATTAATGTCAGTTTAATAATGATTATGCCCAGTCTCCACGAAAATTTATATGATTCATCTGAGTTAACTTCAAAGAAATATTTCGGGTGTCTTCTGGGCATACTGTATATGCAGTGAACCTTGTTGAGATGGGAGTTAATGTGGGGTAGAAGCATCTCAGTACTCCTACGTATAACTTACAAAAGAATTGTAAGAGACTCCGTTAAAATAAACTTCTATTAGTTAGGTCTACTGAGGAAGCGGCGCCTTAACTAACAAACTAACCTCAAATGGTAGACCCCTTCTTTGTAAGCTTACATCCTTTAAGCTAATAAAAATTTTCTTCCTTCTATGGAATCGGAAAATGCATTAGTTTTCGAAAGGGACTGCCACTGGACCACATCCTCAGGCAAACTCAGTTAAAGTTCCATTTTAATATTAGCCTCTTGTCTTTGCATTTTTATTCCAACTGGTTTATTTCTTTGGGATTTACCTACTAAAATTTTGTATACATTTCTATTCAGATTTGCTTTATATGAAATTATTTATTGAAACACATTCTTTCTGATTATTCAAAATATGAATTGTTTTATTAGGCATGTGAAAACTGACATACTGAGGCTTCAAAATATTTCAAAACTATAAATAAATATGTTTTATTCGATAAAATATCCTAATTTAATTTACGCAAACTTCATGTGATTCGATGTATTTGCATCTCACGGGAAATCAAAATGGTTTTATTAATGTTTAATGTCACCAGCAAATTGTATGGTCATGTGTAATCATGAGATTAATACATAAATTGCTAGCGACATTAAACAGGCTTCTAACGGGATCAAGAAAGTAAACAAATGAACAACAGTTAATGGCATTGCAAATGATCTGTATACAGAGTACTCAGAATTATGATTTCGATTAATCGAATTGTCTTGAAAGTACTTAACTGATAAAAAAAATAGTTGTCCCTGTAACAGACCATGGAGGACCACAAGATTGTCAGATGTCGAAGATCCCATATTTCCCTAATAATGGGCTCGGATCACAGATGGCGGTGAGGTCGTCAGCCTTATGCTCTGGCCACAATTTAGCCCCAGGAAGTTTCCTGGTACATATTTCTGTCAGAGACTGAGTCGACACCAGGTTATGGAGTAGCTGGAATGTTCAGGTCAATTGAAAAATCCATTGACCTCATCGTGAATCAAACCTGTGACCTTCCGGCTTGTAGCGCAGTGTTTCAACCAACTATGCTACCGCGTGCCCCTTCACTTACTTCATTATTTACATAACATAAATACAACAAACTTGTGGTGAGAAGTGTACATTAAAGAATTTCCGGCCGAATGACGTATATTTCAGTTAACTGCATGCAATTGTTTACTTGCTGTTTCACAAATGGGTTCAAAAATTGAATGTACTTATTAAAGTGTAAAATCCCGCACTGTTATAGAGGTGTGACCCGTCTACATTAAAAGGGACACTTGAGTTAACAGTGCGTTTTCATCGACTTAAATACTTGGACATAAATTTCCCAGGGGTCACAAACATGGAGAGGTCGAATGTGGGTTTACAGTAAGAAATATACAGTTGTCAAAATGCAGAATACAGTGGAAGAGGCAACCACCTTTGATGACGTGACTGCTTAAATGTAGCACACTTATCATCAGCTTTACTCAGCAACACACCAGTAGTGTGATCATGCGACAAAAGAAGTATTTTCTCAATCAAATATTCAAAGGAAATTCTCGGATGCGGACTGTAAATCTTGATGTCTAATAAAATTATTTACCTACGCGGTAGCGTAATTAGTTGAGGCACTATGCTACAAACCGGAACGTCGCGGGTTCGATTCCCGATAAGGGTACTTTTTTTCACTTGACCTGCTCCTTCCAGCCGCAATATGGCCCTGGGGTAGACTTAGCCTCTAACAGAAATGAGTACAAGAAATCTTCCTAGGGGATAAAGAGCTGCCGGCGTGTAAGGTCGACAACCTCACCGTCATCTGTGAGCCAAATATCTGGAGAAAATATTAGGAGCCTCGACGTTTCACAACCCTACGGCCCTCCACGGCCTGTCACAGCGGTAGCTTTACATTTTACCATTAATTCATAAAGATTCTAAAGGGTTCTGACGATGGGCATAACATTCGAGGTTACTGGGTTTTTGGACTTTATCCATCATCTGGTATTTGAAGTGTTCTTTAGAGTAGTAGATGATGAACGAAGTAAAAAAACAGTAATCCAGACCGTAAATATGTTAATATTAAATATGTTAATTATAATGTTTCAGTCTATAATATATCTAGCTACAAAATTAGAATGGAGTAAATTCGGGGAAAGTATATGACGCATATTCCACGAAGAATTTCTGGTTACTTGCAGTTTCATAACTAAATTCTTGAAATAATTAAATTCTTCCTAATTGACAATGCTGGAATAATCAACTTCCCGCGACTCAGTTCGTCTTTTCCAAACCAAACTTCATTACAATCTTATGTTACAGTCTTTGCGTTACTTTTCTGTGTCTAAGGTTAGCTTCAGAGAATTATTCTGTATTATGCCATAATACCTCAGAGTTTCAATACCGTTAATCTCAAAAATCGCCTCTGATCGCTATACCTAGGCAGTTACATCCATCTTCCACCCTCATAACTTCGCTCTATCTTAATGTTATCTTCTCCTTTCCTTCTAGATATTCCATGCAGAACTTCTAGATTTAACTACACACTAACATTTTTTTTCTTGGCACTACAGCCCCAGTGGGCCTAGGCGTACCTCCATAAACTTCTCTGTTCACTTCGGTTTTTCTAGATCTTACACATTCGGTAGGACTCCTTGGGCGGGTGATCAGCTCGTCGCAAGGCCTCTACCTGTACACAAACACAGAAAAACGCACACACACAAACTAAATATCCATGCCCTGAGTGGGATTCGAACCCACGATCCCGGTTTCCAAGCGAGCGAAGACAGTACATGCCTTAGACCGCTGGGCTACCGTGACCGGAACACACTATCATTATCGCTACATATTCTAAGTAAGCCAATATACAAAGTGGTTCTAAATTATTGTCGGGTTTTCCATGGCCTATAATTTTCAAACCATGAAGAGCGATACAAAACTGCTGATGGATTATGAAATGAGCTCAAAAATTTTATTTGACACTACTATACTTGCCCTATTGAAGTCTGGGAGAAAATATGATGTCATACCTCAAAATGGATGCTTGGACATCTTACATGTCAGGTTAGGCGAACATATTGAATATTATATCTAAGCTTCCTGTTGCACTCTATACGATATATGATATAAACTCCGTCCTAAGTGCAACAATTTATTGTAGGTCTTTCGTCTTGCAAGACGAAATTGTTTCACTTAGGACGGAGTTTATATCATATATCGAACATATTGAAGTTGCTTAGAATTCTGCAGCATTGATTCTAAATATATTGAAACGTCTGAGTTTCACTTTCATATTTCATTAAAAGTTTTATTTTTCTCCTTCGGCTTTGAAAATTATAGGGCACGGAAACCCCGACAATAATTTAGAATCATTCTGTATCACTCCCAACGCGAAGATCATTTTCAGGGACAAGCTGGCTATCCTGATCTGTAGATTCCAAAGGATTCTGACGGTGGTGGATAACACACAGAATTACTGGTGTTTTAGACGTTTTCCATCGTCCAGAATTCTAGGTAACAGAAGACACGATATTTCGGAAACTGGATCTGTTTCCGAAACGTCGTGTCCTCTATTACCTAGAATTCCAGACGATGGAAAATGTCTAAAACACCAGTAATTCTGTGTATCCTGATCTGGCCACCTATTGGTTCGTTCGGGTGTGTGTGGGAGAGACAATGGGAACTGGAAAATTGTTCTTGCACTCTTATTGGTTCGTTCTGTTCTATGGAAAAGCCAACAGGAAGTGACTTGTTGCTTCCATTTCCCTCCTGTTTTCTGCATAAACCGAAACTTGAACAAACCCATTGCTATTCTACCGGTTTCAGCTGGTTCTTATTATTCTTCGACCCTGATGGTAGAAGCAACTTATTCCTCCTACACTCAGGTTCACTTTCAGCGGAATACAAGGAGTTATATCCCAGAAGATAAAACTCTTCTTAAACACCGCTGTGGGAACCTCAAATGCTTCAACTAATTTTTTGTCTGTTTCCATTAATTTATCATTAGCAACTTTTTTCAATTCTGTAGTTTCAAGGTGTACTGTATAAGTGCATGTACATATAGACGCTAAATTATAAGTTCCCTTATGGATTTACGGCAGCCATTTGCTACGCGAAAGTTTGTAATTCACGATCTCTCTCCTAGTAATAAAGGTCACGAGCGGTCCGCACACAGCAGCACCGATAAAGCTGTTTTACTACCCTTTATGCT